GGTGTCAGAACCTGAAGCTTTCTTGATGAGGTCATTGTTGTTGGTATCACTGCTTCACTACACTGAGTAAGAGAAACAAAAGTCTTGTTCACTTTTGGTGGTTTTGGTCTGGCGATGCAGATAGGTGGTGGAGGATGAGGAAATGGAAGATGACGATTGGCAAAGACCATGATGTTCTGTCTTCGTCCTTTTTTTATTTATTAATCAAACCAAATATAATAAGGGGAATAGGGGTACATATACATAACAATTGATGAAATTAAGTTTATAACCATTACAACTGCTTAACTATGATATTCCATGTATTTTCAGTATTAATTGCCTTTTTGTCTTTCATAACACATGCGCCACACATATTCATTTTTTTTTTGTTTATTTCATCTAAGATCAAGAAATTTATTTTGCTTCAATCACCTTTGCTTATAACATCACAACAATTACTGTTGCCAATTATTTCATTTTTCTACATCATTGACGTTTCTACCATTTTTACCATTATCTCCACTGTTTTTGCTTACACCACTGCAATTGTAGATTGTATGACTCTTCACCACCATCATCACTTCCAGCATTATTGCCAGTGTTTTTACCGTTTTCTCTCTTCCATCACCACGCTACTCGTTATTTCTTTATTTCCTCTGTATCTTTTGAATTAATAGTTGTAGTGGACATATCATTAGTGTCTAAGCAATCCGATTTGTTTGTGTGTTGTCTGAAATCAAAACCACTGTTTATTTTTCAGATCTAGTTAGAAAGGGTCAACAGCAAAACGACGAGACATGTACTTCATCAGAAAAGTAAGAGTAAAATTTCTATCTCCTATACTATATGAGAGAAATAAATAGTTTAGCCACACATGTGTGCTTAAACTAGTTCACATGTTTCATTTACTTGTACATTATAACCATTTAGACTTGTATGCATGTGATGTTTTGTGTGTGTATGGATACCTTATACTGTATGAAAATGGTTCTGCCCTCCATACTAATGTAAAAAGGTATCATACCGGATGAGAAAAATACATAAGTTCTATCTCCTATACTATATAAGAGCAGTAAATAGTATAGTCATACATGTGTGCTTGAACTAGTTCGCATGTTTCATTTGCTTGTGCAATATAACCATCTAGATTTGCATGCATGTGCTGTTTTGTGTGTGTCTGGATACCTTATATTGTATGAATATGATTCTACCCTCCATACTAATATAAAGAGATATCATACGAGATAAGAAAAATACATAGTATCGTCACTATGGTGTGCTTCCACTATTTCACATGTTTTTTTGTATTCACACTTTATACATGTAAACATGTATTCATGTGCAAATTTGTGTGTGGACTGCAGTATAATACTATGCCATATAATGTAATAGTATAGGGCGAATTGATGTCACTTTGCGGTATAAAACTATATTATTACATTGCAAACTATATGGCCAAAAAAAACATTATGGTTCTTTCACTTGTAAGTGGATGCGACGTGAAATAACGTATTTGCTTTCCATGTATAGGATAGAGGAATTGGGGTTTGCCGGAGCAGTTGTATCAGACAGCATTCAAACTGTCTATTCTGTACTATATCGTTTATAGTTTAGATGAGTTCAACAATTTCAAAACATGATGGATGTAGAGGTTTCTTATGTATCGCCAATAGAAGATTGTATTATGCTAATCCTTTCCATGCGTATTTGTATGGTATAGTTCAATGTGTTTGCAACTTTGCTATACTGTCTTTCATTGTATCGCATGTTTATGTACATTGTTGTATTATGTTGTATATGTATATTTTTCCAGTTACAGCTTCATGTTTTGTTATTGCACGAGGAGAACTAAATATTCAATTATATAGTACCCATTTGTGAAATAATATCATTGTTGCCATACCATCACCCCCCCTTTTTCGATTGTATTTGTGTAAAAACACCGTAACAGTACCGACAATGTAATGTTATTTTAACTGTCCATTATATACTATATCGCTTATAGTTTAAAATAAGATCAACAGTAGCTAAACACGATGGAAGCAAATGTTTCTTATACATCGCCAATAGAAAAATGCTTAACTTTAATCCTTACCATGAGTGAAAGGTGTAGTATTTTTTGACTATGTTATATTGTTTATAGTATAGTATATATTAGTTATGTTTGTTACACAATGTGACGCGCATATACTCACACGCACGTAAGTGAAAAGAGAAAAATGTCAAAGTTTGCCTCTAATTGTCAAATCAACTATTCAATGGTTTTATTCTTATTTTTTTTATCTCTTATGAATATTGGGCAAAATCACCCATATAATAATTGAAGGCGTATAAATAGTAGCCAAATTGGATTATCCACTACAATGTAAGATTGAAACTGATCCTCCTTGAGTACACTAGGCCCTAGAGTACACTTATTCTTTCACTACTAGAGCCCAAGCACGCTTAAACCTGGAATTCTAAACAGATGTGTGACGGAAAAGATAAGTTAACTTTGGTGACATGTAGCCAAATCAATTCTCTTAAGTCTTTCTATGTATCACAACTCGGGATGTTACATGAGCTTTGTTGTGTTTCTAGACAAGAAACCATATTTTTCTTTGAGATGCTCTTCATGATTACTAACGAGATTGTGCTTCTTCTCGATTGATTTATCCTTCTCTTGCAAGAACTCACACATAATCTATTTTGGGGATTTCAGAGTTCTCTAAAAAAATGTGATCTTATTTGGTTCAAAACTAACAAAGATTAATGAGGAAATATTGTTTGACTTTTATTGCAATTTTACAGAGTTAATACCTAAACAATATTCTTGTGCTATAATTCAAATATGGTCAATCTATACCCAGTAAATATGGTCATGCAGAAACATACCCAAACTATTTTTTTAATTCAAATTACATACCTAAACAATATTCTTGTGCTGAAACCTTCAATTTTAACATCTGGCAAACGGATTGTGAACAGAAGCTTACGTGTCTGTTACCAAAGAAACGTTGTAGTTTTGTACTGTGTTTACTAACAACATCTGGAAAAAATGTTCACGTTTTAAAACCTTCTCTCCCAGCAACATCATTTAAAATTTTAAAGCTCTGCAATCTCTTTAATCCCGAGTCAGGAAAAAAGTGAAATAAAAGGCTGAGGCAAAATTCGATTAGGGTCTGTTGTATGTAGTGATGAGAATAAATGGCTTGTGATGACTTTGTAAAGAGAGTTTGAGTAAGGTTTGATTTTTCTGTTGTTTGTTTGTTGTAATGAACAAGATTGATTATGATCTTGTGCGAAAATTTGACAAGCTTTGAGCTAATAATTTAGTTTCCATACAAGATTTGTGATGATAATCAACAAAAGACAATGACAGATATCCAGAAATTACATAGAAGCTGTTGCAAAAGTTATACATAAAACAATAACTTCAACACCAAAAGAACAATAATTTACTGAACATTCTACAACCAGCAACAAAACAACACCAAAGCTTCTTTTAACCTCCTTCAAAACAACACCAAAAGCTGTTTCGATGCTCCTTGAAAACAACAAAAAGAGACAAAATATAAGTCACAAGCCTTTGCAATCTAACAAATAATTTCAAGTATAGGAAATATTACCATTAAGATTAGAATGTTGTAGTTGTTGGCTTGGTCCTTCACCTTGACCAACTTCTAAAGGTTGTTTCCTTGGCCTATAAACTGGACAGCCATGATTAGGACATTTCCTACTATTATGTCCTTTGTGTCCACATCTTCAGCAAGTTGAGGTTCTTCATTCAATAGACAGCTTTATCCTTTTTTCTTTCTCAGCTTCTAATCCCTTTCCTTTTTTTTTTTTTTTTTTTCTGTGGAGACTCATTCTTACCTTTAAATCTTTTTTTTTCTTTCTTTGTTGGTTGTGGAATATCTCTTGGTGGTGGTTGAATGGTGGGATCACTAGATGATCTCCAAAAGTTAATTCTGTTTACGGGCAGGATTGGATTACAGTATTGCTTCCTCCATGTTGATGTCAAATACCAATGGGAGACATAATTTAGAGGATCAAGTTTCTTATTTAATATAACCCTCAAAGCATGTTGACAAGGAATACCAGTCATGCTCCACCTTCTACAAACGCACGTCTTTTCAACCATATTAACCGTATGAGCATGATTATTCTCTCCAACTTCATAAACAACCATTACCACTTGGTGTCACTCGACACTCAAACGAATGCTTCTTCTCAGCCTTGATGGTATTAGCTACCTTTTCACTATATTTTTCTTGCCACCTAAATGCCTTAGTCCTCCTCATATCCATACGGATCATGGCTTGCCTTCTGACTATCTCNCATATTAACCGTATGAGCATGATTATTCTCTCCAACTTCATAAACAACCATTACCACTTGGTGTCACTCGACACTCAAACGAATGCTTCTTCTCAGCCTTGATGGTATTAGCTACCTTTTCACTATATTTTTCTTGCCACCTAAATGCCTTAGTCCTCCTCATATCCATACGGATCATGGCTTGCCTTCTGACTATCTCCAACATCTCGACCAACGGCATCTCACGGGCAGTGTTGAGTGTATTATTGAAGCACTCAGAGAAGTTGTTGGAAACATCTTCACACACAGGAGTAAAGCTGAAGAAAGCTCGGCTACAATTCTCTGGATTCTTCATCATCACGGCTTCATAATCCGAACATCAAAGTTCTTCAAAGCTTGTATAGCTACGTTGTAGTCTCCAACATTTAAACTCTTTGCAATTTCCCAAAACAAGTCCTTAGGAAGTTCTTTTCCTGGAAAAGCTCTTCTTAAGTTTCCGTAGATGTGTCTTGTACACATACTGTGTTCAACTGAAGGCAATTCTTGTTCAACAGTATTTATCAGACCCTACAATTGAGAACAAAATTTTTTAATGAACCACGAAAACAAACAAGTTAAATAAATAGCATATTACCACTTACTTTTTGCTTATCTGATATTAGCGTGAAACCTGCCCCATCCAACAGTTTTAAATCATGTTTAAGATTCTGAATAAACCAAAGCTAACTATCAGTGTTCTCAACTTGAACTACTTCCCAAGCAACATGAAACAATTAGTTGTTTGAGTCTCTCCCAACAGCTGCTAAGAATTGACCTTGGACATCAGTCTTCAAGAAACAACCATATATGCCAAATATTGGACGACAATATTCAATCCATGACCTCTACA